TTAGTTTCATAAATATCTGATCTCGATTTGCTTTGTTGGTAATAAGCACATTGTGTTGCTTTTTGTATATTTCTAGTGCATTAATCATCAGAGTATTGAACTCTATCTGATGAGCTAGGTGAGAGCTTAAGTTGCGAGTGAATGAACAGAAGAAGGCGTTATCTCGGTGTTTAAATTTCATTCTAATTGCATATGGAATTTCTATGTTTGTCGGTTTTGTTACAAGTTTTTGCTGTAAGAATTTAGTTAGTGCCTCTTTATTGCTAAGAGAGTTAATGATGTTGTCAGGGTGCCATTCGTATAGGTCGAGTGGTTCAAGTTGCTTTTCTCTAAGGTTGTTGAGAGCTATTGTTAAGCTATATATCCACTGTTTTTCTGTTTCATTGGTTGTATAAGGGCCTGTATAAGGATGAATTCCTCGTGAAGTGATTTGGCTATAGGTAGGCTGAGTTATTTCCTGTATTGTGCTGGTAGATATTGAATTAATATCTTTGATACTAGTACTTTGTTCTATATTTAGACTTTGGTCTAGTTCCTATTCTAAGGCCTGTTTGTTTTGGTATGCCCTGAGTATATCGTGAGAGTTTTCTACATGAGATATAGATTCTGTATTGGGTGTGGGAATTTGATTTGTATTGTTTGTATGTCTTTGTTCTATATTAGGCACCTGACTTGGGTTTGTTGTTTTTTTAGAATAGAGGGATGTATTTTGTGTAACAGTGAATATTGGAGTGGAATCACCACTTTTTTACCTATATTTTTTTTATTATGTTGAGGAAGGGAATGAAGTGACATATGGTTAGTAGTATTATAGCTAGTTGAAGCTTCGGTATTTGATGCTCTTGGGCGCTTTTTTGCTCTTTTGTCATTATTATTGGTCTGAGTTTGAGGAGCTTGAGTAGGTTCTTCTGTTTGAGTTTCCATAGGGATTTGTGATGTTGTCGACATTGTCGGCAACAAGTTGTCGAAGAGCAGAGATGTTGTAAGAGTTTTGTTATAGTTCCTCTTAATCTTGTTTGTAGTAGTAGAAGTAGCTAGTAGAATATTGTATTTGTATACAGGCTTTAGTTATTTAATTATTTAATTGTTGTTTTCCGAACTTATTTGTAATATATTTTATTTTCTTATTGTTTTTCCTGTCAGACCTATAATTATATTCATAATAAAATTTTAAAATTAGAATAATAGTTTTTTTTGTTTATAATCTCAACAATTACTATAATATACATAGTATAAAATATTCTGATAACATATTCTTTTTAGTACTAATTTACTTTGCAATATGTATTAGCAATGAAATTTCAAAGTATGCTCTGATATTAATAAACTATAATACTAACTCAATTTATAATTCTCTTAACATAGACACATCATGATTTGATTTTATTTAATTACATATTATCACAGAATTTTTGATCTTTTCTATACACAAAAAAAGAATTAGTAGACTACTAATCAAAAAATAAATGTTAATTTTGATCAAATTAAACTTCTTTTGATTTATTGCTATAATGATGCTATAAAAGAAAAAGAAAAAGAAAAAAATATAGAAGGAGTAAAATTAGTTAGAATTAAAGAAAGTAACCTTCACTCATTAGAGGATTATCTTAAAGTATTAGAAATAATTCTTTTAATAAATAAAGATATAGAATGTGAAAATAAATATATAATACTAGTTGTTTTTTTTTTTGTTATTAAGGCAGCTTATATTGCTGAAGAAATTTTATTAGAATTGTATACAGGATATATATTGATAGTTCCTACTATTTGTAATTACATAAAGAGTATATAATAAGTTATACATACAATTTTAGTTATTATCTAATTTAAGTAGTCTGCTGCATAGGTGATTAGACTACCTAATTAGTTCTATACTATGCTGCTATATCTGTAACCTACCTGTGAGTTACCTATTTAAACACTCTATTCATTAACTCATACAGATCTAATCTAATATTACTACAACACCTAACCACTTAAGCTAGCTAGCTTGTTACAGATCCATTTATTCAGAATAGCTTAGATTCTCTCAGAATACATTGTATCTAATACATTGTAGGTATTGCAGAGCTAGTTAATCTCAAAGCATATCTACTAGAGTAGTCTGTACCTATTTTATGAATTCACCTAGTTTAGACCCTTGTAGATATTTATATAACCCTAATTTCTACTATAGCTCTCTACTAGTTTTCTGTATTCTATAATCTCAGATATTTTATAAAGCAGATCCTCCCAATCCAGTTAGCCGCTAAGCCAGGTTGGTGTTACTGATCCTCTCTATGGAACAGATTTATGCGCACCTGACTCAATCTGCATCTTTTGATAATAGTTTTATTTTTGGATCAAGCATTAGCTAATATGACTGTTAAAAGCTATACTATTTTACTAACTCAGGATTTCTACCATGCAGATCTCCTGTTTGTGGATTCTATCAAGATTTATTCATATAATATTATGTCTTACCAAATGCTTCGTTATACTTCCAATATCTAGATAATATTGGTACAATGTGATTTACAAAGTTACAACTCCAAAAACAGACAGAGTTTACTGTAAGTTAGATACAAAGGTCTGAATAATTATTCAAATTCATCGACAGTGGGATTTGAATTTTAAACCTCTTGCATAGTGGTTTAGCAATCTAACTACTACACTAAGATCACTAAACCTTATAATGCTAGTTGTTGTGAACTAGTCTGAACAACTTTTTATAAGAAAAGCAATAACTCATCTTCAAAAGCAAAATATAATATTATACATACTAGAAGCTAATAATTCATTTATACTTATATTAGATTTGTTGTATGTTTCATTAAATAGTCAGAAGCAAGTTCTAAAAATTTATTATTCATTTTTTAAGAAACTTTTTCATTTAGTTTTTGAAAAAAAAAGTTTTTATAAAAAAGCCAAAACTATGAAGAATTAATCTTCTTCTTGAACTCACTTACCAAGGATAGTTAAAAATAAAAAAAAAAATATTTAAAAAATTTGGAACTATATGCAAAAATATAGAATATAGAATGTTAGTTGATCTTCTTGATAATATAATTCTAGCAACTTTAGATATATATGCTATTCTTTTTCATTCAGGTTCCTTTGATAAATATCTAGAAACTATTTTTTGTATATAGACTTTTGCCTTATACTAGAATCATAAAAATTATAATAAGGCTCCTCTTGTTTTCTTATCAGATATTTTTTATTAGAAAGAAAATAACTATCCAATGTTTGAAGTAATTAAAATGTTTTTTGTAAATTTTAATGATTATTTCATTGAAAATATGCATAGTCAAATCCATGCCAATACATCATCTAATAATAGTATAGAAACTATTATTAAACAAACTTGTATCTTAGGTAAGTAAAATAATATTATTTTATTTAAAATAAGATAATAATTATACAATTAAACTTAAAAAAAAAAAAAAAAAAAAAAAAAAAAGATGCTAATAAATAATTACCATTTAAAGAAGTATTTCATTTTAAAAAAAGATATTTGCTTCTAGCTTTAGAATATTTGACAAACAGGATATCATTATTTTTGATAGATTATTTTTGCCAAGTATTTTAGTATCTTGAGATCACTCCTATAATAGATAGTTTATATAAAAAGCAAGAAAAAAAAAATTTAATTAGAACGCAAGGAAAAAAAGAAAAAAAGATTTAATATATAAACTTAAAGTTTTAGGTAAAGATGTTGAAGCTATACATTTGCTAGCAGGTTATAGTATAGAAGTTTCTCTCTTACTATAGCTTTGCAATAATTGCTTCAAAATATTAAATAATGATAATGATAGTACTGTATTAATCTGTGACATAGTTATCATTAGCACTGCTACAATCAAATGGAATATGGGTATCAGCATTGTGAGCAGTATTACAAAAATAGAATAAATAAGAATATGAATTCATTTTTACAAAGACTTGAAAAGAGAGAAAATAAACTTATTAAAGAAGATAGAATTGAGAAACTGGAAGTTTCAGAAGAATGTATAGAAGAGCATAAAAAGTACGAAGAAATTCAAGTTATAGACAGTTTTATCAAATTTGCAAAAGTAGTTAGAAAATATAAATAAGTAGTAATAAGTAAATATTTCACCATTTACTAACCTTTCTATTAAATATTTATAGTATTATTAGACATAGAAGTTGAACTAACTAACACTATATTCATATTTCTGCTGTATTTTTTATATATAAGTTACCTACCTTTAAACACTTGATTTAATTTGATTTGAAAGTTTCAAAAGGCTTATTAGATCATGAAGAATATACTAATATCAAAAAATTTATGTTACATAAGCACCTGATAGAATTGTCATATTACTAATAAGAATTTAATATAGATTCATGAGATATTAGCTAATCATATTTAATTTGATGATTAAAATTGATAGCTAATAAAAACAAATTTTGATCATACTATAAAATATAGTCATGTATTTGTTTATTATGTAGTTGTTGTTATTAGAGTTTTTTAAAAATAGTAGTAAATATTATCAATCATTTGAAGGGAAGAAACTAATTTCTTTATTTTTCAAAAAAAAAAAAGACTAGAGAGGAGCAGAGTATATAGTTTTGAACCACCTTGTAATAGAAAGTGTATTGATACCTGACCTAGCTCAGATATTGTAAAGTATCTACTGAGTATCTTCTAACATTTAAAAAATAAATCTAGTAATATATTTCTTCAAAAACATCTTCTAGTTACTTCTTATCAGAACTAAGTTATATTGTTTGTAGTCTCTAGTGAACAAGTACTACCAAGTTCTTAAGACCTATCTCATATTATTTTTT